GGAACCGTAACATTTTGGAATGTTCTGAGATGAGCTATCAGATCATAGACGTGGAGTTGTTGCTCTTGATAATATCTCTTCATTTATAGTAGTTGCAGTAATTATGACCAGGATTATATAGCCATGGCTGCACATCGTCAGGCCGTGATAAGCAAATGTTCCTTAATAATATGGTATTATATAACTGCAGTTTTTGAACTTTATTGATTCGTCTGCTTTGATATTATCTTACGTTTCAAATCCTTTTCAAAGAAATTGCTTGAAGTCATATAACTGCAAAAGTTCTTACCTATCTCGTTCCATAGTCCCATAGATGACGTTCATCTGTGCTGCTTGAGCTGATACATACGCATTTGTCCGTGCTGCACTACTCTCCGAATAGTTGGAAGTGAGTCGTCCGATTTGCCTGTAAAATAGGTTGGAGAGAACCAAATTTATTTTATGTTGTTATCTTAAAAAACTTCATACTCACCTGTGCCTAATCGTGCAAAGACCAACTATGACAGACACCATCACAACGGCAACTACAGTCAGGCACAGTACAATAATAAATGTAGGAGAAGCTAGCCGACTAGTTGGAGCTGGGGCTGGTGCTTTTTCCTGAAACATTCGCATTTGTTTGCAAATATTCTCACCAGTTATCCATGGAATGTCGTGAGCGTAACCGGAGTTTCGAACAAATTAGGGTTAATCGGATCAGGAATATGAGAGCTTCGAAAACAGTGATTGTTAGTACATTGAGAAAGGGGATTCAAGAAACAGAGCTTCTTGTGCTTCCTCACTTAGCGGTGTATTCACACATTTTTGTAAGCTGATAGAGCAATACGTTCCCAATCGCGCAAAATACCATGACTGGGCTAGATTTTACCTCTTTGCTTTGCGTAGTCGGACGGGAATGTAGTGCAAATTGCTCGAAACGCTCTCCGTCATCAGCGATGGTTTGATCTTTTTCGGAAGAAGCCGCTCTAGAATATAGCAAGGAAATTTTAGTCAGTTGTTTGTACACAATTGATTTTAACCTTATCGGCGCTAGTACAATCGAAGGTGGCAATGTGTGCTTTTCGGCAGTTGGGGGTGAAGTTGCTTCCAACGGGGCCTCTTTTATTCGTGAAGCCTGAGTGTTTTGATG